GCCTTCCAAAACTTAAGTTCTCTTTAGAAGCTCTTTGTGAAGCATGTCAGAAGGGCGAAATTTTTAAAAACTTCTTTTAAAGCAAAGAATGTTGTTTCTACTTCTAAGCCATTGGAGCTTTTGTACATTGACTTGTCTGGACCAGCGAAAATTGCTTTTGTCAATGGTAAGAAGTATGGTATAGTCATTGTTGATGACTATAGTCGATGAACATGGTTTAAGTTTCTTAAACACAAGGATGAGTCACATTCTGTGTTTACTACCTTCTGCTCTCAAGTGCAAAATGAGATGGATCTCAGGATTTTCAAAGTCAGAAGTGATCATGGTGGCGAGTTAGAAAATAAAAACTTTGAAAAGGTTTTTGATGAAAATGTAATTTCCCGTGATTTCTCTTTCCCTAGAACTGCACATCAAAATGGAGTTGTAGAGAGGAAGAATAGGACTTTGCAAGAAATAGCCAGAACCCTGATCAATAGGACTAACATGGCAAAGCACTTCTAGGCAGAGGCAGTCAACACAACGTGTTACATTCAGAACAAAGTCTCTATAAAACCTATTTTGGGTAAGAATACATATGAATTATGGAAGAACAGAAAACCCAACATTTCATATTTTCATCCTTTTGGATGTGATTGGTTTATGTTGAACACTAAGGAGAATCTTCATAAATTTGATTCTAAAGCACAAAAGTGTATCATGTTAGGATACTCTGAACGCTCAAAAGGCTACAGAGTGTATAACACTGAAACTCATATTTTTTAGGAATCTATTCATGTTAGATTAGATGATAAGCTTGACCCTGAAAAGTCAAAAGTAGTTGAAAATTTTGCAGATTTGGAGATTACCTTTTCAGACTCAGGAGGTAATGATGTTGCTACAAAGGAACCAAAGTAGAAGGAATCTGAAGAATTTCAACCAGAAGCTGTTGAAGCTTGGACTCCTCTGATGAGGAACATAACTAGACCCTCATATTCTAAATAATTGATTCTGGGCAATAGATCAGAACCAGTCAGAACCAGATCCTCCTTCAAACCTTCTGAAAAAACGCTTTTGGGTTTGGTGTCCCTTATAGAGCCTACATTTGTTGATAAAATACTTTTGGACATATAATGGATTCTGGATATGTGTTGTACCCCAAAATTTTCCCTCCCATTTTCTTTAAGACATTCTCATGAGGTCCCTATTTGCTTAAAACTACTCAAGAGTTGACTGGTCAAAACCACCTCCTAAACAAGGGTCTTTAACTATGGTTTTGTTTTTCTCAAGGAAGATTGGGTTGCAAGGGTCTAAAATGGATTTTATGGTTCATCATAGGTCCTCAATAATGCTTATATCAAGTTTCAAGTCTTGCATCACATGTTTGCTCAGTCAATGGCTCAGATGATTGAAAATCAACTGTATTTAGTAAAAAGTCAATTGTGGTCAACATATAGTCAAACTTCAAGATTTTTTTTGTCAACATCAACATTTTGAGTTGATATTCATCATTTGATCAAGGATTGATCATGGTTCCTCAAGGAAAACCCTCAAATCATCAAAGGTCAAAAATTGCCAAAATCTTGAAAAAGTTGCTTTGATCTTAAGTTTCGAGGAAAGAAAGATGGGGAGAGAAGCTTCCCATAGACGGTGCTACTGATCTTACCGGTTGATCAGAACCTGAGAAGTGGCCAGAAGATGATCTGTAGTCAAGATGTGAAGTCGAGGAAAAAAGGGGTTGTACTTGTAATGCACTTCGACGATCAAGTAAGAGTGGGAACAAGAAGGTACAAGCAAAGTATTAAGTGGTGAATAGTGAATATTCGATACCTGGCCCACACAAGTGTGAGGGTATATATAATTCCCCTGACGCATGGCCATTGGTTCCTAATTTCACGCCTAGATATGTGGGTCAGTGAAATTAGGTAACTGCCAGGACTTGGTCAAACTGAGCAGATGTTCTCGTAACTAGCCGTTGGTCCTGAGGAAGAGTTTAGTTGCGGGCATCTCTCTGGTCAGTTCATGGTGGCCTGCATGACGTTGATGTCGGGAAGGCTGAGAGGATGCTCGTCGGTCATCTTGGGCCAGTGCTGGCTCGGGAGGGTAAATGGACGACATACTCGATAGGTAACGGGCAATCTGGGTCACAGTCGTGCGGGCCGTACCAAAGGAGATGTCCTGGATCGGGCTTAGTCAAGTTGTCGGGCCAATTTAGAACAGTAATTTTGATAAAAATCAGAGTAATTTAAATTTTTTGCATCAATAACAAATAGGATATCACATCATTCAACATATTCAATTTTGCTCAGTTAACATGAAATAGATACATAACACACATTTCAGATGAACCGACAATATTTAAACATAGTCTTCAAATTTCAATTGTATTAAAGCAGCGGAAAGAATTCCATAATCATTCTAAAATCTTCAACCATTATAAGTCAGATATGAAATCAATTAAGAGAGAGTTTACAACACTCCTCAAAATCATCAAAAGACATTAATTAAATAAAAACAATTGGACATTCATCCCCGGTGTTATGTATCAGAGCAATGACACTCACTCAATAAGAGAAGCAACCTCTTCTAGACTTCGTGACTCTGCACTACTCCTGGTTATCTGCATGTTACCCATGTGGAGGCAACATTCAAATAGTAAGGGTGAGATATCATGACAATATAATAAGTTATACAATTATAAGTAAACAACAGTTATCTAACAGAGGTTCATGTTCAACAAATATATTACACCACTTCCACCAGTTCATAATTCAGCAATTCAACAATCCAATGATCCAACGATTTGACAATTTAACCAATGTAATACAACTGACTCTGATGCAGGATGCATGTGGTACCATCAGGGCATAATCCTTCAACAAATTGCCATATAGACCAGGGCATAAGCCTTCAACGATTGCCAATACAGGCCAGGGTATAAGCCATCAACATTTGCCATAAAGGCCAGGGCATCAGCCCTCAACGATGCATGAAATACGACATGCCACAAAAATTTATGCAACCACAAGTATAATCATCAATACCACACCAATTTCAGGCCAACATCATCTTTACAATACTGCAATATCACCTGTAATCCCTTCGCACATCATCGATATAACACTGACACAATTAATCGTAACATTTTGCATTACAACACATACAACATACGCACACATCAGAATTCTTCCAATAAAACATTAGTATACTATCATCAAAACTATTACCGAAATGTAGAAAATATTTTTAGCTTTCCAACGATCTAAACGGCGCATCAAACGGACACCCGAGGCAAAAGTTATGATTTTTAAAAGTTTTTTCAAAAATGTTGTCACTAGCAGTGGTAACCGGTTGCTCAGTTATGGTAACCGGTTACCGCAAGACAGTAACCCTTTTCTTTTTAAAATTTCTCGCGGTAACCGGTCACCCATTTATGGTAACCGGTTACCATGTAAAACAATAGCCAAGTGTTTCAAAATACATACAACGGTAACCGGTTACCCACATATGGTAACCGATTACCCATCACGAGCAAACCCAGAAATTTGATTTTTCTGCTACGAAACTCCATCTTCTTCATCCAAAAACCCCTTTTCATGAAAGATCAAATACAACCATTATTCTAAACAATCAACACACATCATATACCATAATTCTAACACAAACAATACATCAATTTCATCAATTACAAGCAGTTGTAACAACAATTTAACAATTATTCTACACCCAAAACCCTACATTCAAACCTTCATCTACCCACAATCATACCACCTATTAGAGAGTCAGAACCCCACCCTTACCTTAGATTCTTGGTTGATTCTTGGTCTCTACGGTGAATCATTTGCCCTAGCTTCCTAGTGTTCTTCTCTTCTTCTCTCTTCTACGCGTCTTTCTCTTGTTTCTACGTAATGACCTATTCTATTGGTCTTATTCTAATATGTATTCCAACAATAATCTAACTATCCCAATTAATTTAAATATATAATTATTATTATTATTATAAAATAATAATAATAATAATAATAATAATAATAATCCTAATGATATAATAATAATAATAATAATCACTATTATTCCATACACCTCCATGATTCTACGCATTTAGCCATACACCCACATAACTACACCTCATCATCTTATATTTTAATTAAAAAAATTAATTATAATTAAATAGGGGTGTTACAACCTCCAGGACTTCAGATGCAGATGCATGAAAGAGAGATAAAAGAGATCCAAGTGATACATAACGAGAAAGTCTGTTACCTCTTCAAAATCACGCAAGTGATGAGATAACTCTACCAAAAGTCTCCTTTAATCTTTCTCAACGGAGATTGAACTCTTAATTAGCTTCAAAACTCTTTGAAACTTATTCAACCTTTTCTCAACAACTTCCCACAAAATTGGCACTAAAGTCTACCATAAACTATCATGGTAAAAATAGCAACAAAATGCACATGAAAAAAGACCAATTAAAAATTCTACAAAAATTCAAAAAAGAAATCCTGAAGAAAAAAAAACTAGCATATTTACTTTTTTCTCACAACATTTTTATTTCTATCTCGTTGGTATCAAAATTAATGGAAAACAAAATTAAAAAAAAAAACTATTAAAAAGAAATCAAAACAACTAAACAGAGGGGGTGCTAATCGGGATACAATGAGTGCTGTAAGCAACTGAATTGGTGTTAAGCCCAATCTGAATGAGTTCATAGGTTGTTTTTGTCCACAAACCTAAAAAAGTTTACTCAAAAAATATCTTTGGGCCTTAGTGGGAACCCGATCGGTGCATTACCAACAAAACAATCCCCAATTCATTAGGTTAGGGTTGAGAATAACGCTATCAGGTTTCACGTGGAAGAAAGGACTCGAGTTCTTCTTCTTCTTCTTCAAATTGCAACAACGGCGCCATGAAATTTCACTTCCAATCTTCTCCGATGATTCTTCCTCCGCCGTCAGCAAAGTGCCACCGCGCGATTTTGGTCGCGGTTCTCAACCTCATCGTCTTCTCCTTCACATCTCTGTTTCTTATTGTTTCTGTATTGTGCGATGTATGATGTTGTATAATGCCGTTGTCGTACTCAAATTGTTGCTGCGGTGAAGAAACAGGTTGAAGGTGATCGAAGAAGGGAAGTGTTGATGTTGTTGCGGGTGAAGTAGTTGCGTTGCTGAGATGATGAAGATCGAATTATGGTGATGTTGTGCGATTAAAATCGAAAACTGAAACAGGTGCAGAGAAGATGCGTGAAGTTCACACCATGCGGTTTTTGCATTGTTGTTTGAAAACCGTTGCAGATTGAGGATTTGATGATGAAGTTGTTGTAGTATGCGTTGAAGTTGTTGTAAATAAAACATCTGGTATATTTGTAGATTGGGCATAGCATGGAATTTAGGAAGGAGGAGTGTATTGGAATCTAGGAAGAAGATAACGTGGATCTTAATTAACTTAGGCAAAGTGAATTCACTTGTAATTTTTTGTGGGTTTGTAATGATATGATTATTGAAATGTAGATTGTAATGGTTTATGAATATGAAGCCAAGTTTGGTTAAGGCATGGTTTTTTGAATGGACTAATGATGAATTTGAATGGAGTTTGAAGGAAATTGAACACTGTCTGCTTGAATCATTAACGGTGTTTGAATGAACATATGACCTTGCAAATTTAATGGTAAAGTCCAAATGTTCAAGGCATCTTCCCTTTCCAATTAGAACTTGAACTTCCCATCTTCTCTTGATTCTGTGTATCCATGTAATTCATAGTGTATAAGACTTTTCCAATTGTCACATGAGTGAATCTTATGCTATGCTTCTTTCCTTTACTTCAACCAATGGAATGCATCACCATGTCCAAATGACTTGGTTGAATGCCTTGAAGTTCTTGAATTTGAACAATGGTAATTGAACTTGACTTGTAAAACAAAGTTGAATGATAACTCTTTTATAGCTTATTACTTGAACTCCAAGGAAACTCCATAGATACATCTTCCAACCTTGTATGCTTAATGAATAAGACATGTATCTTTGATGCCATTTTGACAAACTTGAACCACTTGAACCTTTAGCATCAAGAAAAACTTGAATGAACACTTCACAATCCTAACTCACTCCAATGAAACCTTAATTTCATTCGATTTTCCAATCCAAACCAAACTTGCATTCCAAACACGGAAAGAATGATGATGCTTTAATTTCGAAGAAACCATAAATCATATGATATCTTTGACAAAACCCCCCTTCCTAATAGATGGCGTTAACACAATGACCATGCTCTGAGGAATTCTTTGAAAATTAATATAAAACGTGAGACATAGGGGAACACTTTGATGTGGAATGAACCTCATGTAGAATTTCGACAAGCTCAAGTATGATAAGATGCAACCCTAATCCTTAGCTTCGCTGCATAAAACCTTGCAACTTGATGTTGAGAAGAAAATAATAGCATTGTAGTTGGATGAAGAAGAAATCCATGAATTGAAACCCTAATTCTCCACTTCACTGCTTTAAGAAGAACCAGAAGAACCGTAAGAATCGGGCTTTATTGGATATATATACACCTTAAACCAAGAGAAAACCCTAGCTTGCACGATTACTGATATTTTGAACATTAGGGTACTTTATTGAATGAAAAGATGTGAATGAATGTGAAACCTAAGCCAGATAAAAAAAATAACCAGAAGGGAAAATTTTGGGGTACAACACTAGTCTTATATTAAAATTTTGTTGGAAATTATTTTACTAACAAATATCTAAGAATTAAGAATTGAAAAATTAAGAAAGAAGGAGATCATAGAGAAGATGAACAAGTTGAGTGAAACACTTATAGATGAGAAAAATCCAAACCGAAGAATCATCGTCCTCATCTTTTTGCACAAACTCAGTTCAATCCTTCAAAACATTATACTCAATCATTGAACAATATACACTAGATGAAGGATCCTCTTGTTCAAAGAAAGACAAAGAAGATGAAAATGGTTCTTCAATATTAGAACAAAGAAGAAGAAAAGAAACATAAACCTTGGGGAATAATCATGAAAGAATCATATTCAAACAAAGAAGATAGAATATGCACAAAGTCACCTAACGGGAAAGATCTTGAGAGTAGAAAAGGGAAGTTTCCAATTCTCACCCTCGAAATATTTCTGCTTTAAATTGAAAAGATCTAAGGGAATGATTTATAAGCTCTGAGACTAAATGATTAATTAAAAGAATCTATACAAAGTATCAGTATACTCTAGAAGTATACAAATTTTGAAGTCTTTGATCCCGAGGATGAACGATGATGACGAGTGTCATTCGTTATGATTAAAGAAACATTTGAGAGTGCTCTCAAGATTAATGATTACAAATGATCAGTTGAATAATAAGTTTATAATATACTTATTCATTATGTGGTTTTTCGTCTCTCGCATCCAACAATGTGATGAGAAGGATGCACCTTAAAATGTTCTTCCTGTGTGGGAAATATTTATCAAGAATTATTTCTTGATTTAAAAGGTAAAATTATTTTAAGATTGAAATTATCGGTAAAATCTGATAAAACCCTTAAAATAATTAGTTCAATAAATCTCTCATTTCTTAATTAAGTATTGTTAACCCCTAAAAACAAGATTGTTCAAGTGTTTAAAGCATAGGGTACCAAAAGCAACAATTGAAGGTGCTAAGGAAGAAACAAAGCCCAACTAGCGCATGTAAGCTGAAAAAGAAGGATCTAATCGATTGGCACTTTTTGCTCACTGATTTGAAAATATCTAACATATATTTTCAAAATAAATTGAATCTCAACTTGTGCGCCAAGCAAAGCAAATCCCAACAATTATGAAGATCTCTCCCAAAACAAAAATATTGAAGAATCTAACCAATTAGAAGAAAATCTAATCGATTAGCAGGTCCAGAAAAGTGATTTTTTATCTGATTTTTAAACAGCACAATCTGTACATCAAAACCCTTCAATCCACACGCTAAAGAAACCAAGAAGGTTTCTCTATAAATAGGTATCATTCCTTGACTCATCTTGCACCCCATTCCTTCTAGCCCTATCATTGATGAATTCACAAGCAAACAATAACAAATCAAATATTTCGCACCATTCGCAAACCGAACCATCATGAGAATTCATACACTATCTCAAGAGGAATTCAAAGAATGCAATTTCTTCAAAAAAATTGAAACACTCAACCTCACTGACTTCCTATGCACACCTTCTGAAAAATTTCACACCACTCTTGTGAATATGTTCTTCTCAAATCTCTGTCTCACTGATGGAATACTTCAGAGTGAAGTAAAAAAGCATAAAATAAACTTTACAGTGGAAGAATTTGGAAAGTTACTAAATCTTCCCTATGAAGACAGACTTCCTGAACTTGGGGATAAAGCAAATAGGTACAATATGCCTCAATCGCATCCTCTCTAATGAAAAACCATGCATATCACATACCTTACCCACTCACATCCAAGTAAATTCTCCTTGAAAGTAGGATGACTCACTATGTGATAACTCATATTCTCTTCCCCATGCTAGGAAACTTTGCTCTCTTTACCCAAACAGACATTGAAACCGTCTGGCTAATAGAAAATAAAGTCAAGATCAACTGGGCTCAATAGGTAATTGGTTACATGCTGGAAATTAGAACAAAAGGAAAACATCTTCCTTATGGCCACTAAAATGCGGTGGGAGAACTGACTTGGCTGTTTTGCGTTTTATCGCAATTGTTGCGGATAGCAAGAGTCGCCACCGACTTTTCTTTTATCCAATAAGGAAATGGTGAAAAGAACAGGAAAGACCTTTGAGATGTTTTCTTGAGTTCGGGGGGTAGGTTATGAAAAGGGAAGGTGTTAGCACCATTTTCATCCATAGTTATCCATGGGCTCTTAGTTGCTTGCTAGATCACTTTTGAAATTGCTTTGTTTGAAATGTGTTTGTGGTGGGTTTTGAAAGTATTTTTGAAAAGCACCTTCGTTTAGGAAAACTCTGTAATGATTCTCGCCTCTATAAGAATGTATACAAAGTGTTGGACTTTTGAAAGTATTTCATGTTTTTTGAAAGTGTTTGGTGTATTTGAAAAGATGTTTTTAAAGATGGATTATGAGCAAGCAACTAAGAACGTTCTACCTACTCAAAAGTCTTTGGTTCATTTCTCTTTTCCTTTGATATTGTTATCTCACCATTGATTGGTAAGTAACCTTATTTTTGGATGTGAATGGACGGGCGTGGGTCATCGTATAGTCACTGATAACAATATTGTGAGATATCTTAGCATTTTTCTTAAGGGACTAAAATCATTTGTAAGGCATCATTCGTAGCGTCATCGAGGGACTATGATCTTGTATTTTTGATTGTTTTTGCTGAGATGTCTCACATGCATATCATGATCATTTTATTTCTTAAGAAAAGAAGTGGAGTTAATCCTAGAGGTGCAAGTGTGCAAGTGTTTTGATTTCATGATTGTTTTGTCTTGAATTAGGGTTTTCTAGTATTGATTTTATCTTTCCATACAAACCCTAATTTACTAGCATATATATTTTGAAAATGGTAAATTGCGAAAAGTAAATATCCTACACTATTACATCATTTTTGGGGATGAGGAGTACAGATTTACAATGGGGATTGCAAGAAATTAAACCTAATTATCTATTACAATCATATTGAATTGAATGAACAAAAATTGAGATAAATATTATGTACAAGAAATGGAATGAATATAATGTATAAGTATGAATGGATAAGAAATGAATTTTTGTTTTAACCTAATTAACTTAAAAGAAAATAATTAACTAAAAATAAGAAAATTAAAATTAATTTAGTAAAAAAAATTAATTTAAAGAAAATAATAAATTTTTAGGGTTTTGTAGAAAGTGGTGTTAATTACAATAGAAATAGTATACATGAAACTAATTAATTAAAAGAAACCTAAGTTCTAAACAAATAATAAGAATAAACCTAAATCTATTTATTTAATTAATTTTAAGAAATAAAAATGAATTTAATAGAAAATATTTTGGTCTTTTAGTCTAAAAGAAATAAATATGAGTATATTTAATATTAGTAAATAAATAAAATATTTTTGAGATTTTTATTAATAAAAATAAATATTATAATAATACTAATAATAATAACTAAAAGAAATAAAATAAAATAAAATAAATAAAAAGTCAGAGGGGTGAAACTTGAATTTGGAGTGTTTTGTTAAAAAAACAGTTTGGTTTGATTGGTTTTAGGCCCATTAGGTTTTTTTTTGTATACAGAAAAATGGCAAAACAAAGAGTAATGGGCCTGTGTGATGAATAGTAAGGGAGGGGTGCGCTGAAGGAATGGGATTGGGCCTGAGAGGGAGTTTTAGAGAGAGGCCAGGCAGAGTTGTTTAGCAGCATAAGGGGAAAAGGGGAGGGGGGGGGGGGGGGGGGGGGGTGCGTGAGTGAGGAAAATTGGGCCTGGTGGTATTTTGATGGTTGGCCCAACGAAGTACAAAATAAAAAAACTGAGAAATATTTTGTCATTTATCAGAAATACTCCCTCTCTAATCCTCAACTCTCTCTCTCTCTCTCTCTCTCTCTCTCGTCTTATCTGTCATGTCTCTGCCAGAGAAGAAGGAACAGCTGCGTCGAAAATTGCCTCACGACGATGACGGCGGCGGCAGACTTCCAATCGCGATTGTTTTTGTATTATTTCATTTGTCTTGTTCTCCTGAGTGTTAATCTTTGGT